ACGGGTTAAACAATGACTGATCACATCATTATTTTCACCTTTACTAGTCAAACATATTTTATTTACATTTACATTTTTATTCTATTGTTATTTACATAATAATTGTTTTAGCGTTTTAAAATCTTTGATCTGTGTGAATTTTTATTTGTTTAAGTATCCATGGTAAATGGAATGATAGTTTTGTATACACATCCGGATATCCTGGTCGTGCACATCCAGAGCCAAATGATGTGAGACCGGCTAGGAACCATCGACCATTTGGACCAGAACATTGCAACGGCCCTCCAGAATCTCCCTGTAATAATATGTTTAATGACCACAAAGTTTTAATTAGTTCTATAAACAATACAACTGATATGTGTTTGTTTAACATACCACACATGGTCCACCACCTTTTCCATCCATTCTGCCAGCACACAAATGTCCATCAGTTATAGGCACGGCTGGTCCATATTTGTCTCTACAAACAGATGTATTGTGTAYAGGCACTTTGATTTGCCTCAGTTTACCCGACAACGGTCCATTTGGTTTGACTTTACCCCATCCAGTTGTGACACACACTTTTGGAATTGGCGTGTTATTTGTAGATGGAGGTAAACACAAGCATCGCACATTTGTGTTAGTGATATTTGTGGGTCTAGACAGTTTCATTAATGCTGCGAAATTCAATTGTTAGTACCGGTCAAATTAAACTGTAGTTTTGAACATTTTTTCATAATTAACCTATATCATTTTGATAATTATTAAACTTATCATGAATGACCACTTCATCAATGGGTATACGYTCCTCCGTGTGCTCTTCTACATCTCTATTCCAGTCGCCGAGTACAGCTGTCCAAAGAGCTGCCAACGGCAAGCTGAACTTTTCACTTRCAATTAAMATTTTTTAAATTAATACTTTACACACATTTGTCAATATCATTTATAAATAATGACTTACTTTCTGATGCAATGAGCGGCTGTCAACACCCAAGTAGGTTTGATCAGTACTCCTGCACACCAATGGCCAACAAAACCAAATGCTGGATGAAGTAATTGTAAAGATACCTTTAAAAAAATAATGAAAATGTGTTTAATAAAGCTGTTATGATCTAAACCACWCATTCAGAGTTTAGACAAATATTTTAACTACACTATTCATTTATTTATCTTAATTAACTCCACTATTGAAATACACATAAAATTATATGTTATGCATTTGTTATAATTTTATTAATTTTATTGAAATTAATATTAAAAATTTAAATGACGCTTAAAAAGTTATTTGAAATTTAATAATAAATTAAATGTGTTAATGAATATTTTTGTTTTTATGGTAATTTGAAATTTTATTTAAATTGAATTATTGATTGTATATTATATAATTAAKTAACACATTAAGTTTGCTTGTATTTGAACATCAAAAGCAAGAATAATATCAATCATTGTAAAGCAACATTCACAGCTATCTTGTGTGAGGGTGTGGTAACTATGATTATGACTAGTAACTATATTCATTCAAAAGCTATACTCAATTTTTGGTATACTCAGTTCTAACTTGGTTATTTCATGATCTACCAAAAATTAATGTCCAATCACAGTAAAATTTGTTCGACACCACACAACRTAGCTGTGAATGTGCCTAAGTATTTTAGAAATCTACTATTTCAATGTGTTCACCATTGAGATGCTGTATTTTAATGTTAATTTTGTGTTAAATATTTATGTGATATCAATTGTTAATTATGCATTATAATTTATGATACTTAATAAGAGTAGATACCCTATGTCTAATACCTACTATTTAATAAGAAAAATGACAATGTTTAGTCAAGTATGATTTTATTTCTGTTTGTAAAAGTAGACAGACATTAAATTAGAAATAAATAATCTTATCTCCCAAGTAAAAATATTGAAATTGTTACATTTTAATGAATGTATTTTTTAAAAATAAAAGTTTAA